AAGGTAAGTGAGAAGGTTGCTAGCATTTCTCTTATGCTGTTCCCTTGGTTGGCAGCTATTCAGATAACAGGATATGACACGAAAAGAAACTATAAAAAAGCAATACTGCCCATCCTGTCTCAAATGGTGATACTTGAACACCGAACTGAAAAGTAAAGCTCAGACCCGCCGGAAATATAACATAGACAGGGATGAATTCTTTTCCCCAAATTTGAATTAACTTCACAGTAGTAGTGTAGTAGATCAAGCAATGCATAGAAGCCAAGAATGACCACCTTACAATTATGTCACAAAGATGAATATCTTAAAACTAACCTGGGACTCCTTTGTAGCACCAGTAATAACTGACGAGACATTCGGATTGGCAGCACACCATGCAATTGCTAGTTGAGCTAATGGTACACCTAATTCATCTGCAATTGGCTTAAGACCATTAACTTTTTGCAGCACGTCATCAACCAGTTTTCGACTAGCAAGATTCTGCAAGGCATAAATCAAAACGTTAGCATCCTACCTATAAGGGAGGAAAAATTTTAAAGCAGTATGGAGCCTTGACACCAGAAATATGATAACGGCTGCAATGTCTATTAAGGGGAAACACCAATGATTCTAATCCAGAAACCAACCAACGCATGTCATTACATTGCATCCCAACAAAAGAAAATTATATGGCGGGTGCTGCTTAGAATATGTTGGCATGTCGATAAGAGACGAACCAATGAGTTTAAATTTTTAGTACACATGAAGGTAATAGTTGGTTTAAAGAGACACAATATAGAGACTATGGCAGTTTAGGGTCATCAATCTAGACAAATTAATAATTGCATGTACATAAAAGCATAGAGTTAACTTTGTCATTAAATCCAAGCCTTACTTTGTAATTGTCCAACGCAAATCGGCTATCAGGAGGTATATTTCCCTTGGTATATTTTCCAGTAAGAACACCAGAAGCAAGTGGACTAAAAGTGGTAAGACCCAGGCCATAGTTGGTATACAGTGGGAGGAACTCAGTCTCGACCTGCACTCACAGACGAGTTGAAGGAAATCACGGATGAGATGGGGAGAGTAATCCTTTCTTCACAAGCTATAACAGCAGTATTCTTGTTCCCCTCGTCAGGGACATATATCAGGATACACAAGGTATATACAATATAAGACCGAATTATAGTCATGCACATGGACTTCAATTTAGTAACCTTTTTTAGTTAGAAACAAAACATCTATTAAATTACAACAGAGGACAACGTGTCGACCAATTTACATGTTTTTTATCCTACAAAACAATGAGTAAAAGGCATAACAGCCATTACAAAAATTACAAACAGAAAACAGAAAGACAAATAAAAAAACATCAAAACCCTAAGATACAGAAGCTCTCATATCGGAATATTCCAGAGGAAAGCCTTTAAACTTTGAAGACACTAATGTCCATATCAAAGTCCAAAACTGGACCCTTTCCCGTAAAGACTGTAATACACTAATCCATAGACTACGAATGTAGATGTGGATGGGATAAGTTCAGGCAATTTATGGTAATCATTCAGCTAGCATACTGATAGAAATTAAATTCTTTTTACTGAAAATATGACTTTAGCTCTTAAAACTTAATTTTCTCCACATAAAACCCGACATAAGTTTTTTACTTGAATAAAACTCATGACTAGATTCCACATCAACAAATTCATTAATTATATTTAACTTTACACAATTAAAATTTTCTAATACCTAAAATATCCTATTTGAATGTTTGATGTATACAATTAATTCCATACGAATAGTAAGGGAGAATTAATGGTTTTACCAAAAAAACAAATAAAAAATTCATGGCCTAATATTATAATAACAATAAAACATATCTAATATATTTGATAATTCATGCTTAGTTAAGTCAATAAAATTGTATTTAAATTATTTCACACACACATATATAACAAAAAAAATGCATGATATACGTAAACATTCATGCAAAATAATTTACATACAAAAAAATATTATTTGATTCAATGCACCTACTATTTAAATTTTAAAATATTAGACTGCATAGAAAAAAAGAAAAATAGTTTCCCCAATATATGTAAAATACATGCAAAATAATTTACCTACATAATAAAGCAAACCCATAATATATGCAAAATCATGTACCTACATAAAAAAAATGATATTTTTTTCAATACTAGGTTACCTATATTAGTACATATAATAATAAAATGTGCCAAATATACGTAATAATGCATGGAAAATAAACTACCTAGTGTTATTTGATTCAATATTAATGTACCTATGTTTTTGCTCATCATAAATTCACATAGGAGTATAATATGTTTGATCATATATGTAGTACCGCTTTCGACAAAAAAAAAATATATGTAATACTGTGCATTTATATTTCTACGCACAGTAGTACTCTATATATAGGTAAACAATATACACACACACATATGTATTGAGATTATGGTAGTACTATATACATTAACAGGAAAAAATATTAACAGCAACGAATGAAATCTGGCAAAAACGAGGTTACAAATACTGCAAAGATGAAGTTGTGTGTACACAAATTAATAAAAGAAACATATTAAATAGCCAAATACGCGACTCTTAACCGAATATTACATGACGAAGCTCATGCTCATTAGTCATTATCAATTTGGTCAACTGCCCATTATTTTCATCAGGATATAGAAGGAGACTTCCATCATTTGTAAACATCTAGTCAACCAATCTAAACCGGCCCTACCAAGTCATCCATTAACAATTGTATCATAACGCTTTATAGCAGTGGCAAAAATTAATAAACACTAATCTTCTTTAACTGACGTATTTAACAACAAAACCCAAGTTGAAAATTCCTCGAAGAAAACATCAAACAATCCCCATGTGGGCACAACAAAAACAAAGAAAACACAGACCTTGTGCCTGGAGAGCAAATTGTACTCAGGCTGCTCAACAATGGGCCCCACCAAATCCAACCTCTCGGCGATCCCCCACGCATCCGTGATCTGCTGCGCCGACCACTCACTCGTCCCCCAATAAAACGCCCACCCTTTATCCATCACGTAGTTCATCGCCCTCACCGTCTCCTCGATCGGCGTCGTGGCGTCCGGGCGGTGGCAGTAGATGAGATCCACGTACTCCATGTCCAGGCGCTTCAGCGACGCCTTGGTGCCCTCGACGATGTGCTTGCGCGACAGGCCCTTGTCGTTGGGGCCTGGCCCGCCCCAGAAGATCTTGGTGGAAATGACGACGTCGGAGCGCTTCCAGCCGAGCTCGCGGATGGCCTGGCCCATGATCTCCTCGGCGCGGCCGGAGGCGTAGACCTCAGCGTTGTCGAAGAAGTTGACGCCGTGGTCGCGGCAGGTCTGGAGGATGGATTTGGCCTCCTTGACGTCGAGCTGGTTGCCGAAGCTGACCCATGCGCCATAGGAGAGCTGGCTTACTTTGAGGCCCGAGCGGCCGAGGTTCTTGTACTGCATATTGTTCGACGCCATTGGAGAGACTGAGAGAGACTGAGGAGTCAAAAGGTTTGAGCTGATGGGAATCTATACGGAAGGAAGGAAGGAAGGAAGGGGTTGAAGCACACGTGGATTTATTTGGTTTTCCATTTCGAAATATATATATATATAGCGTGGGAATGTAGGCATTGTAACGTTCTTGTGGACCTGACTGGATTTATCATGCGAGCTAGTATTTGAGTGTCTTTTTCGAGAATGGGTGATGCATTGAATCGGATTTTTCGATAGGAGTTGACTGTTCGACGGGGACGGATGGATCGACGGGCCAATGGCGCTGTGGCCGCTCGAATATGGAATAAGGGGTGGCCGGCGTGAGTTGGTATTGGGTTCAATCAATGATGACGATGAGTGGCCGGCGTGAGTTGGTATTGGGTTCAATCAATGATGACGATGAAGGAGGAGGATAATATTATTCTTTTCTTTGTTAATTTAATTTAATTTAATTTTTTTTTAATTGATTTTAATTATTTTTTAAATTTCAAACCACTTTTTAAGAAAAAGAATTTAATTTTTTGTATTTTTCACATAGCACCATATTATTGTAGTTGTAACAACCAGTTCCAATTTTTATTTACGGATTTTGGAACAAAAGGGTAGTTTGGTAATTTCGATGGGGTTGATAGATATTTTAAATTGTTGTTTTTTGGTCTTGTTTGGTGTGCCCAAGTGAGGCCCACCCTTGGTTTTGTTCATCCGGCTCAAACACTTCATCTCTCTCTCTCCTTTTCTCCCTCACTTTCTCTCTTTCTCTTAACTCCCCCGAGCTCTCTCTCTTAGCTCTCACCCTTCTTGGTGCACCATTGCACCACCACCACCGCCCACCTCATCGGCAAGCCACACCACCATCACACCAGTTCGTCCTGCCTCTCACCACGAAACCTAAACTGGAACTAACCCTTGAACGTCTCTCGCACGCTTTCTCTTCTCACGGTGAGGTCCAACAGCCTTCGAGCCGATTTCCAGCCAACTCTGGCCACTAAGGGTGTGTTTGTTGCACCGGACTATCTCGGATTGGACTAGCTTCAGGGACTAAGCTGGACTGGCATAGAATAAACTAAGCTTAACTGATTTAGTGAAGCGTTTGGTGCAGTGTCGGACTAAAAATTAGGATAATGAAAAATAGTGAAATTACAAATTTTAACGATATAATTACATCCAACTCAACTGCAAAATACCCACAGTCAAATCAAATGATAATTACATTAAACTCAACGACAATTGCTTGGAAACAAAAGAAAATATTGAGTTTTGTGCATTGTAGCATTGCAATTTGCAAAAACAAACAGCGCTTTCCTACAACATAGGAATTCATAATCAGTACATCAAACTTTCTCACTTTTTGGTCTAAAATCCCTCTAAGCCTCTAAAATTGAGAAATCTATAAACATTCAGCAATCCAAATGTCCCAAAATTGTTAAAAATTCTAACTCATCAGACCACAAATTTAGAGGAAGAAAATTTCGATTTCTTCTTCACAGCCTCCCAAAATTCATGAATAATACCATATTCATTCATCCCAATTTTAACATACATATGTAACATCACAATATGACTTTGCTAAATTTGATAGAGAGACATCCTTTGCACTTTGAGCGTAGCTTTCCATACAAAACAATTGAATTTTACAACTCCTGTTTAACGATTTCGTCTAAAGAATAACTTACAACAATTGATTCAAACAATGGCTATGATACAACATGAACGATACATTCATGGCACAACCAACACAGCAATTACCCCAAAGAAGTAACTCCAAGAATTGTGCTTCTTTGTACACTTACTGACGATGTTGATTGAAACATCACCAATGCTACTGCTTTTCTCTAACTTGGTGTATTAGTATAGTCCGCAGACTCCGCACTTCATTCTGGTGCATTTCCTCATCAATGGCAACAAAACATCAGCCTAAACAGAAGCTAATAAAGGTGCATACCTTCCATTTCTTCGTTGCGGTTCAGCAGGAAGTGTATCTTTTACACGAGTCTTTGTGTCAACTAATATTGGGTTTCGGTTGGTTTCCGTAATAGGCATTTTAATCTCATCAATCACGCCCACCATCCATACTTCTTCTGCAAAACATATTATGATATCATAAGAAAGTATAGCCAATCATTGAAGGAAAGGAGGTTAAGGAGATCAATGCTCCGATATCATCAATTCTATAAGAGAGAAACATAGAATTGGTTGTAAGAATAAAGCAAAAGAAAGAGTATGCCTAATTGACGTACCGATATATAAAGGTAGGATGTTTTTCTAAGACTTTCTCAATCATGTTTCATTTTCAGTACTGATGTTTCAGGTATCCAGAGCATTGTCTCATTAGGTCCCAAAAAATACATTGGATCACCATCAGCAACCAGTTGTGCTTATTTCATATTATTTCAATCAAATACATGACAAGCTTCAGTTAAAGGGCACCATAATCTTACTATCCAAGATTCATGCTTACATCCAACCCATACAAAACTACCAAACAAAGGAATAGAGCTGCAAGCTTAATCCAGACATCACTTCTTACATATGATATTGATAACTAATTAACTACTTTATGCAACAATAATGATCCATATGATCCATTTATTAATTGATTATAATGCTAAATAAGCCCAAGAACGCCCTTATCTAACTCATTATGACAAAATTCCCCCAAAAGATAAATTAGTAAATAGAAAGATAAACTTTGGACCTCGCATAGATTGACAGATACAAGATAGCTCCATGCAGGAGGTTAAAAGCCACCTAAACAATGTATCAGGAGTCAAAGACTGAATCAAGAGAGACAGATGAATTAACTTACAATGGCAGCAAATGGAATTTGCAATTTCACAGAAGCAGAAATCAAATATGTACAACTACATCATAAAATACCCAGAAGTAGAAATCATTGAAGAACAAGCAATTTGGTAGCATAAGACCAACCCAGATTTCACAGAATCAAAGCAATCCAGATTTCACATAATCAAAACAACAAAAGGAATCTGTAAATGATGAGTGAGAGAGAGACTGACGATTTCTTGGCCTGCTCAAGCGAGCGAGCGTGGCCGATATTGTTAGTCCAGCAATCAGGATGAGATTGATCAGGACGATCAAAACGAGCATGACAAGTAGGACGAACATGATGAACACAAAGAGGCGAGCGAGCAGGAGGATGAAGACGGTCTTAGCTAGTCCGCTCGTATTTGGGGGGTTTCACTAGGACCACCTAACGAAGGAGTTAGTGAAAGCAAGTCCCACTTAATACCATTAAACTTAGTCCTAGTAGCCAACAAACAGAGGATTACACTGAAAATTAGTCCAGTCCAGTCCAGTCTAGTCCAGGTTAGTGAAGCTAAACAAACGTGCCCTAATGGGGAAACCAAATATATAATCCTAATCCACACTTAGTTGTCTTCAATTTGGTGAGTTGATCGTATGTTAGGGTCGAGAATCGATGTTGATCGGAGCTTAGGAAGCTTCGACTTTCATCTATGTGAATACCAGTCTGAAAATGGGTCAAACCCAATCCACAAAACCTGAGCCGGCCCAACTTGTTGGGCCATGGAATCCGGCCAAATTGGCCAGCCCAACCTAATAAACCTAGAACCCAAAACCAGGCTCTCGGGTAACGCAACCCGCCAACCTTTATGTTTTATTAAAGGTTTTACGGCATGCTAGGGTTTTCGGAAAACCTATAACTTATTATGTTATATGAGTTTTCATGAACTTTGGGGTACATTGATGAATAACTATTTTACTATTACATATATTAACTTGGTCCACTCATGTTTTGTTTTGCACCCCCTAGGACTTAGAATCGAGGCATACAATCCCGGCATCAAGGCACTCCCACATCGGCATCTTCGAGTCCTCTCGATGTAGGACCCATCCTTCGTTCATTCAATTTTATATTATTCATTTTTAGTGCCTTGGATTAGTTGTATGCTCTGAACATGATCCACAATTGCATATTCATTATAATTAAATTTACAAGTTTTATTTATGTCGGTTAATTATTTTTAGTTCTCATACATTCTAACATGGCTTCGTCACCTTCGAGTGTCGGCCAGCACATGCCTACCCTGATGTTTGGAGAATATCAAGGTCAAGCGTGTCAGTAGTAATAGATCCTACATGTGTGCCATGTGGGCACACTAACAAAAGCTTTAACAAAATTCTAACAAAAACTACATTAATTTACAGCGTCAAATTTCAAAAATGATATAATTTTCAAGTTCTGAGACCAAATGAAGAGTTTGGTCTATTTCAAAGACCATTGTGATAAAAACCTATTTCAAATTATGCCTAGTTTGACAGCTTTATTTCCTTTCTTAGTCAAACTGATAAATATGATATTTCTGTAGTGCTAAAGTTGATTTTTTTTTTTAATCAAATGGTGCTAATAAAAATTGAGGTTGAATTTATTTAGAAATAATTTTTACGCTTTCAAATTTAGTAGGTTATTCATTTCAATCTAGCAAGCAAGCGTTAAGAGTATAAATATTCACCCTTGATCATGGTTTGTTATTTTCTTGCCCCATTATATCCATAAAAAGAAAAATAATACATTGAAAAAGAAAAATAAAAACCTGTTGTAAACTTTTTTAGTTTAAGTGTGATTGTGTAAATCCAAGATTAGATTTGATTCTAGTTATTCTTTCCTATGGGGATGAAGGATTTCTTCTCCCTCTTATTACTATAAATAAAGGCACTACGTAAGGAGGAATAACACACACACTCCCCTACAATTCTACAAACACATCTCTTTCTCTTTTCTCTCCTTGCCCCAGCCCCCTTCCTTTTGTCAAATAAAATAGGCAGCACACTCCTACCGCTGCGCTTAGGAATCTGACGTGAAAGCTTTCTGCATCAAACCAGTTTATCCATATCATCACGTAATCAGCTTCTTCCAAAACAATTGTTTTTATCTTGATATTTTTGTAATCCCGATAACATGAACATTCACCATAATGCATGACCAAACTTTACATTTTTCGAATTTTAGATTATACATAAATTGTGTAGCATTATATTTATAATTGTTGAATTATGTGAATTTGATATTGCTATGAATTGCATCAATAACTGCTTATGCATTAAATTATATAAATATGCATTGAATTAATCTGGAATTAAAACAAACAAAAAATTTGTTTAGGGTTTCATCGAAACCCATCCATGTCGATGAGCCCCCAAACCAAGAACCCGTCCTGGAGCTACTGCTCTAGGCCCAAAAACTAGAACCGACGCCCAGAAAGCATCGCCCAGCCACCTTGGCTACATCACCGACGACCTGAAGATCGTCCACCGATGTCACTTGGCTGAGATTCCTTTGAATCTTATTGGATTTCTCGCAATCCCGATTTCAATTTCTAGGGTTTTTTTGTTGAATCGTTGAGATTTCATAATCTCCGTTCGTAATCATGGTCGAAAACATCCAAAAATGGTACCTCCAAGTCTCCCCGTCCAAGATTTGGCCACGCATAGTGGCAGCGCCGGTCTTCTTCCTTGGCAACACCCCTCGCTTTGCTAGGATTTCTTGGTCTAAACTCGACCCTATTTTTGGGCTCGCTATTGCAAGCCCAACCCAACCCCACACTCGACTTAACCTGAAGGAAAAAAAAAACTACCTTGGCTTAGTCTAACTCACGACACCAGCCCATATGGCTTTGATGTCCCTGTGTCCACACCGTACCAAATCCTAGCCTGCAGCTGGAGAATCGATGCACTGCACCACATCCCATCTAATCCATGCCCATCTTGGGCCTTTGGTACATTGGGCCTGAAGTTCCATTGGCTTGATCAGACCATTCCAGCCCATTGCTTAAGCCTGGGCCACCTGGTCCAAATTTGCTCAGCTCATCCGTGGGCTTTGGCCTTATTTTGGGCCCCGAGTTTAATTGTTTATTATTTTTATACAATTTGGGTTTTATATTTTTTCACCCACACTTTAAGTTTGGCCCAATTTTCAAATAATTAATTCAATTATAATTATAGACCTGAAGTTCTATTTGCAGATTTTCTTGTTGCATATTTCTGTATATATTTGCATTTGTTTGTAGGAACATATGAACCTGAAGTTTCTATAAACATGCCTTGTTTGAAAACTTAAAGTTTTCCTTAAAAACATCACCCATGAAAACTCTAAGCTTTTTCATGCAAATTTTAACCAATACATATCTATTAGAACCAGAATGTTCTACTCCTATGTGAATGGATTGATTTTTCTTTCTCCATTACACTAATCACATCTTGTCCTTTATTTTGTGATAGGAACATGTCGAATTTGAACAAACTCGAATTCATCGCTTTGGAGGTCTCTGGAATGAACTACCTCAAGTAGGTTCAAGATGTGAAGCTCCACCTCACTGTAAAGAATTTGCATCCCGTCATTGAAGATGTGACAGACAACCCAGTTGGCAAAGCTGAGAAAGCCACTGTTATGATCTTCATTCGAAGACATATTCATGATGCACTGCAAACTGAGTACCTTGCTGAGGAGGATCCACGAGCACTATGGATCGCTTTGGCTGATCGCTTTGATCACCAAAATGACATCTTCTTGCCTGAAACAAGACATGACTGGCAACATTTGCGCTTCCAAGACTTTAACTCTGTGAATGAATTCAATTATGAAGTTTGTCGAATCTGATCACTTATCAAGTTTTGTAACGAAACTTTGATCGAAAATGATCTCTTGGAAAAAACCTATTTGACCTTCTCTGCTACTAATATTGTCATGTAGCAACAATATAGAGCTAAGAAGTTCACTAAGTTTTTAGATTTGATTTCTGTTTTACTTCTCGATGAAAAGCAGAATCAGCTGTTGATGAAGAATTATCAAGCTTGACCTACTAGAGCGACTGTTGTGCCTGAAGCACACTATAGCATAAACCAATGCCCAAAACGCCAAAAGAGGTGTGGTAGGGGCAGCTAGAAGCCACCCCGTCAAGGTCAACAAAGCCAAGGCCCATCTAAATAAGGAAACAACGCCCAGAAGCGCCCTAACCTCGGTCTCAAGGCTCTAAACTTCAAGAATAAGGGCAAAGCACCTGAAACCATTGATGTGGATATGTGTTATCATTGTGGTTCAAAGGGCCATGGGTCCCATGTTTGCTGAGCTCCCCAAAAGGTTGTAGCTGAATATCATTCTCGTCGTAAAAAGTTTTAATCAAACTTTGTTTAAGTGGACGAATCGGAGAGTACCAAAATGGAGGTTTTTAACTTTCAAGAGGATACCACACCTATGGAAGATTAGAATCTTAAACATAAACTTTTTTTTTTTTTAGTTGAAATAAGACAATGGGGCCGAATTCCACCTAGTAGCCGAACCCCCCTTGTTTTTTGGTTAATTTTGAACAATTTTCCTTTATGTTTGGATTATTTGTTGGGGATTTGTTTTTGGATATTAAGTTTTTAATTAATTTTCGTCCTTGAATACTTAAAATTATTTTGAATGGATATTTGTTTATAAGAACTTTTTTGCATGTGACTGATTCAAATTAATTTTTCATTCTAGGTATGACTAGTGGGAAAGTTAGTTGTCAGGCAAATAGTGCAATCACATACACCGTTTTGTGTGAACATATTTATTTCACTAACTTCATACCTAAGAATGCACCTTTGACAACCTTCTCATGCCCATTCAACCTCATCAAATGACATGGTAAGGCACGTATAATATTGTCCAATGGTACAATCTTGACCATTGACGAGGCACTTTATTCTCCACGTTCTGGAAGAACGTTGTTGAGTTTTAAGGACATTAGAGATAATAATTACCACGCTGAAACCTAAGTAGAAAACGGAGTTGAATTTCTGTGCATAACTTCCTACAATCATGGCCAGAAGTGTATTCTAGACAAGATGGAGCGTATCCCGAGTGGTCTGTATACTACGACCATACGCCCCATAGAGAGTCACTATGTGGCCAACCCTACCTCTGGGACAACGCACAAAATTACATTTTGGCATGATCATTTGGGAAAACCTGAACAAATAGCGATACGCCGTATCCTCAAATCTTCATACGGGTTTGCTCAAATCCTTCCATTTTTCTACAAAGGATTCAAGGAGACATTTGTCGACCGATTCACACTCCATGCGAACCATTTAGATATTTTATGGTTTTGGTTGACTCTTACACATTTTGGTCACACATGTGCTTGTTGTCCACTAGGAATGCTGCATTCTCCAAACTGTTGGCTCAGGTTATCAAGCTCAGGGTCACCATCCTGATTATCCGATCAAATCTATTCGATTGGATAATGCTAATGAATTCACATCTAAAATTTTTTTTGACTATTGCATGTCGGTTAGGGTTGAAGATGAACATCTAGTACCCCATGTTCACACCCAAAACGGCCTGGCAGAGGCATTCATTAAGCACTTAAAAATGATTGCTCACTCATTGGTCATACGTACCAAACTCCCGATCGCTGTTTGGGGCCATGCAATATTGCACGTAGCCATGCTAGTTCGCATAAGGCCTGCGACGACCCAACCATATAGCACCCTTTAGTTGGTTACCGAATATGAACCCAACATATCACATCTGCGCATTTTTGGTGTGCGGTCTATGTGCCGATTTCGCCATCCTCAAGTACAAAAATGGGGCCACAGCGAAGGATGGGAATCTATGTCGGATATGATCTCCTTCGATTATTCGTTACTTAGAACCTTTTGGCAGACGATTTGCTTACCGCTCGTTTTGTAGATTGTCACTTCTATAAGACAGTCTTCCCGTCATTAAGGAGAGATAAGAACGTCAACGTTCCTGAAGAACGACACGAATTATCGTGGACGACTCCCACTTTTTCTTATTTAGATCTCTGCACTGCTTAGTCTGAAACTGAAGTGCAGTGCATATTAGATTTCCAGATCATAGCTCAGAGTATGCCAGATGCTTTCACCGATCTAGCGCGAGTGACAAGATCACTCTAGAAGCCTAGGACACCAACTTTGGTGATCCACGTACATTAGCGGCTAGCCAATCATCTGCCCTTACACAAAAGCATGGCAGACCTCTTGGTTCGAAGGATTCACACCCCCAGAAGAGGAAACCCACGGCACAGACACCTGAAGAGCCTACCGTGAATCCAACTGTCGCTTACTCATTCTATCCAACTTATGAGGAAATTCTATATTACAGAAGTGTACTTGAAGAGACAAATCCACCTTCTGAGAATCATGAGATTTCGGTTTATTATGCTAACTTAGATGATGTGTGGTGTAGAAATGAGATGATCATCGACAATGAATTAGCATATGCAATAACTAATGAGATCATGTTGAGCGATGACATTGAACCCTGTTCCGTTGATGATTATCGACGTAGAACCAATTGGTCAAACCGAAAACAAGCAAGTTGAAATCGATTCGCTTGCGAAACATAAGGTGTTTGGACCTGTAGCTCCTACTCCTCCACATGTGAAGCTCGTCAGCTACAAGTGGGTTTTCGTTCGAAAGCGTAATGAGAAGAACGAAATTGTGCATTATAAAGCTTGTCTTGTTGTGCAAGGCTTCTCACAACGCCAGGGATTGACTATGACAAAACTTATTCACCCATCATAGATGTGATTACTTTTCACTACCTTATCAGTTTGGTAGTTTCTAAAAAACTAAGTATACAGCTGATAAACGTAGTAACTGCGTATCTTTATGGGGCTCTTGATATGGAAATTTATATGAAAGTTCCCAAATGACTTACATTGACTGGATCAAATATTCCAAACCCCGAACACACTCTCAATTCAGCTGATGTGTTCACTTTAAGGTTTGAAGCAATCTGGAAAAATGTGGTATAATTGTCTGAGTGAGTATTTGACCAGTCAAGGGTATGTGAACAATGAACTATGCCCTTGTGTGTTCATTAAGAAGTCATATTCCGGTTTTGCAATAGTTGCAGCATATGTCGATGACATGAACCTTATCGGAATTCTTGAAAAGCTCGCGATAACTACCGCACACCTGAAGTCGGAATTTGAGATAAAAGATATAGGAAATACTTGATATTGTCACGGTCTTGAGATAAAGCACTGTTCGGATAGAATTTTAGTACATTAATCGAAGTACATCCAAAAAGTGTTGCACTGCTTTAACGAGGATAAAGCGAAGCCTTCGAGTACTCTTATGGTCGTTCGAACGCTAGATACAAAATGAGATCCCTTTCGTCCGAAGGAGGATGATGAAGAGATTTTGGAGCCTGAAGTTCGTTATCTAAGTGCGATAGGCGCTTTATTGTACTTAGCTCAATGCACTAGACTCGACATATCATTCGCTGTTAATCTTTTGGCAAGAGTAATGCACCAACATGCAGACACTAGAGTGGTGTTAAAGACATCTCCTGTTACCTTAAGGGTATTACGAATTTGGCTTGTTCTATCCCTACGGATCCTCGAGTGATGCTGCACCCCTCGCTTCTCGAGTCGATTCTCGCGTTATTGGTTATGTCGAAGCAGGATACTTATCTGATCCGCACAAGGGTTATATCAAAGGAGAGAACATTGAGCACATTGCGCCGAAGTTCTTCTTCTCATATCAACAACAAGAGCATCAGAAGATTGAAGTCACGCAAATACGTTCACAAGACAATCTGGCCGACCTCTTCACCAAATCACTACCAAATGCGATGTCTCAGAAGCTTGTTCATGGAATTGGTATACGTAAACTTTCTAAGTTGTAACATTGCTAGTTCTCTTTAGATGTATGTCAAAATCAGGTGGAGTATCCTGAAATATACTTGCTTGATCTTAATGTACTCTTTTTCCCTATGATTAGGAGCATTTTTTCCACTAGGTTTTTGCTACCCAACTAGGTTTCAATGAGGCACCCACCTTTAGTTGATCATATCCCTGATGACGTCCCATAAACGTTTCATTTGATTTTTCATTACTCATGCATTTTTCCTTAGACTATGGGTTTTGTCCCTACTCGGATTTTTGCCATAACCTTAGGGTTTTTTAGTGAAACTTTCTTCTTTATGCAAGTTCCTACCTTATTGAGAATAGCGTTGTTCCCAGAATCAGTGCCAACGAGTCAACTTCCTTAACTTCTACATGATGCTGAATCTACCTTGAGTATTTACACACTCAATGGGGAGTGTTGTAAATTTTCCTAGTTTAAGTGTGATTGTGTAAATCTTAGATTATATTTGATTCTAGTTATTATTTTCTATATGGACTTGTATTCCTTGGGGATGAATGATTTCTTTTCCCTCTTATTATTATAAATAAAGGCACTACGTAAGGAGGAATAACACACACATTCCCCTACAATTCTACAAATACATCTCTCTCTCTTTTCTCTCATTGCCACCGGCTCTCTTCCCTTTGTCAGATAAAATAGGCCGCAACAAAAACTTTATTTTCTTCTAGTTTTCTTTTTGTGTACAATTGGGCAAGAGGACAATGGTTAAAAATGAGCTTTACCAAATTTGTTTGGCAAAAGGAAAAAGGTCTTTCTTGTTGGGCTTTAGCCTATCCCATTGTACCCAAAAAACCTAAGGTCGTCTCCAATGGAGATGACTAAAGGTCTAAAAGCAAAAAAAAATGGTCTGGTTTGTTCAAAAATTCATTGGCTAGATTATAATTCTATGGAGCCTACTAAGCTATTATTTGGGAAAATGTAGCCCCCCCCCCTCTTTGACATTTTCTCCGGCTAAACTCCTCAGTTGCAATAATTGATCCAAATTCACTGGTTAGATTTGAAAACATCCAAATGTAGCTTAATCAAGGTTCTAAAAGACGTTAGACGCTAGTCTGACGACGAGTTGGGGCCTATCACCTAGGCAGCTAGGTGAGGTCTAGGCAGACGCCTAGACGGATTTAATTAAATCTACTATATTTCATGTAAATAAATGTCTGTTTATACTTAAAATACGTATAATTTCATCATAAACTACAAAATAGAATGATATGTATATTATGAGCTATTGGAACATAATAAAAACATGGGGAACAAGCATATAATGTATGTACATTTAAGTATTCAACAAGTCTCTTACAATTTATTGGAAAAAATAAAAATGCAAATGAGAGTTATCTATTTTCTGTCTAAGTGAGTCACAACCTAGGCGAGTGCCTATGCAGGTTTGGACGGGTTAGGTGGGTACCTAGGCAGTCTAGGCAGGCGCCTCAGTAGGTTTAAGCGCCTTTCCTTAATTTTCAAACGCCTAGGTATTAATCGGGACGGTGGCTAGCCACCTAGCGCCTAGGCAGGGCCATAAACTTAAAACTAATAAATTATTGAGGGCTATGTTTAGCCCTTTTAGTTGAAGATGATATATAAGTATGACCTGACATTGTTTATTTAAAAATAATTTTTTGCAGAGATATAATTTTAAACAGGGTTATATTTGGTCTTTTTGGATGGAGATGGTCTGAGGAAAAGAAAAAGTGGCATGGGGCTTGTACCTCGATTAGTTCAAGAGCCTTCTTCTTTGCATTTGAGGTCTAGTCTTGTGTTTGATTTCCGCAGCCAATTTTTAATTGTCTTCAATACCAACCCCCTCCCTCCTCCAGCAGCAGTATCACTTGCACAAAGGAAGAAAGTTTGAGTTTGGGCTTCAAACGACAAACTACTTAATTGAAGGAGCAAACAATTGCATCGTCCCAAAAACCAAGTCCAAACCTAACCCAACTAAACCCCCATTTGAGTAGACAGGGGAAGAGCTTGCAGTTCCAAATCTAGTTAAAATTTAATTGAACAATTACCCTGCTAAGACTAACATCATCTCCAAGAGAGAACTTTTTGTAGCTTTTGTTTACAACAATGGATTCACTAAGTGATGCTTTGTCCAGTGTGTGACATGTTTTACACCCCAAGATAAGATGGTGGTGTACATATGACCATTTTCCAGGAAGAGTTGCATGAATGTTTTGGTTTATATCGTGCTTCTGCAATATACATGAGGGTTCCGGAGAGTCGGAAACCATCTTTAAAGCATGGAGAGGACGTGCCAATCCTCGAAACAATCTGGCTCTTAAATTCTCGAACAAAATCAATTATCCGACAAGGTTGAAGAGGCTAAGATCGAAATTTCTGTAATCTAGGTTTTAATAACAAGAAAATGGATACACATATTTACATATTCAAATGTCAAGTTTTTCCTGTAGTTACTGACAAGGAATTTAGATACAAGAATTTAAGCCTAGTCAAGTGATGCGACTGTAATCGTAAAAGTTAGGTGGCACTCTGGCAGATGATAAAGCAGCTATTGCCAAGTTAATCTCGGGAAATAAAGAAGAAGAAGAAGAAGAAGAAGAACAACAACAACAACAACAACAAAAAATAAAATTAAAAAGAAAACACCACTGAATTGTAAGTTTTGAAGATTGAGCTTACCGAAGAATTTAAGAGAAACAAAAAAAAACGCATGCACAGCCGGAGCACGAAAGAGACTACTAGGAAGAGGAGAGGAGAGAAAACATTACAAAGAGTGGCAAGGATAGAGAGAGCACCAGAGAGTGCAATGCAGCAGAGAGGGAGGGCGCAGAGGGGGAAACCAAGGGCTGGCAATTGGACAAGGACAATGAAAGTGAGTGCCAGTGTGAAATAGTAGGATTAATGAATCGAAAAACTATTTTCGTAGCAACAGAATGAAAGCACAAGTCAATTAAAATCCGTTTATTGTATTGAATTAAGAAATCACCTTTGCAGACCGTGAGCACAGTTCAGGTTGTCGCACAATGTATACTTGATCACCATGGCTATCTTCCTTATACGTATCTTGATTCCGATGCCAAGTCCATAGAGCATAAGTAGAATTCACAACCTGCATTTCAATATATAAAGGTCATGGAAGACGGCTATGAATGTGTAACTAGGAAACACTGAAGACATCACGAAAGATTGGGCTTAGATCTTTTCTACTTGCATGATTTGCACCTCAGAAGCAAGTTTCAAGCACAGGTACTATTTGCATTTGCTAATCATGGTTAAACTAATAATTAAAGTCAAACATTGTGTGAGATAAGTTTGTTTAACTAGAGAAGTAAAAACAATGTTACTAAGTTGTACCTCAAGAATTCCATGCCCAAAGCTGCTTTCTCTAAAAGCACTCCACTCCGGCTGTTTGCTCCAACAAAAGTTGCCTTTAGCAGGCCCTGAAGAAAAGTTCAAATGGCATACCCCTCCAAACTCCGGTGTGTTGTCTCCAGCTGAAGGACACTTTCCAGGGTCATCAGCGAAATCAACATCAACTTCTTCAATATTTCCACCATCTCCAACTGTTATGTAAAGAGGCCCGCACGGATCCAACGTATAGTTATATACTCTATTCATCCGTTCGTAGGCATGCACCTGCACAGCAGACAGCATATTACACTTTCAACATCTGCAAAGAAATTAGTTTCAATGGTGAGATCACAAGGTGTTTTCCACTTTTATTTTTATGGCCTCTTCGAATTGTCTGCCATGGATTCTTGTATCTAGCTCCAATATAACGTCATGTATAGAAAAACCTCTGTAGTTATCAATCAGATGTAACTTCTGTTATATGTATTGCTATTACAGAAGCATATTGCGACATAACATGAAACTGGCAAATTTTGCCAAATAAATATGCATACAAATGTTTACGAGACTATAGACAGAATCATCTTAAACTTACATGACCAGAAAAAACAATATCAACACCGTATTGATAAAGAAGTGCTTCCATTTCTTGTCTCATGCATTCAAATTCCTGATAGTGAGAAGAATAGCTGTTATACCAAGGAGGGTGCCATGCTGCCACGAGCCAGGGAGTCACTGTACGGTCTACTCGATGTAGATCATCTTTAAGCCAAGCATATTGAGCACCTAGAATGAACATAGATAGGACATAACAAAGAATTAAAAACCAACAGTTGCAAAAAAGTACACCGGTTGCGAAAGTGCTTACGCTTTCATAATTCAGCATTGCAGAGCCAAATCAGAATGTTTTAAATTTATCGTTTGTTATTATTAGTAGCGAATTTATAAGTAAGAAGCGTTATGGCATCAATTACCAGTAGCATTGTAGTCAATATATGCTCCCAACATGATAAAATGTACTCCTCCAGCATCAAAAGAATAGTAGAAGTTACTTTTAGAGCCGGATTCATCTGATGGCACTGCAAATCTTGTCAAATAGGATTCGAAAGTGATTCCAGAAACTTGGGGCTCAATCTCATGGTTGCCCTCAATAACCATCATAGGAACTCTCGAGGTTAAAGGTTCCATGAACCTAAGTTTCCACTTCAACCATGTTAATCAAAACCAACTAATTCAGGAAAATGCAGCATCACAAACTGGTCAGAATTAAGATATCAGCATTTATTACATATTTCTTCTACTTAGCTCCAACAGATTAGCTAACTAACATTATGGATTGACATTGACAAATTGTAATTTCTGTGACAAATGTTCAACATAAACTGAAACAAATGCTAACTCATACGGTGAGGTAGGATGTAAAGGCATTCAGATACTAATTCATAAAGTTTACCTTCCCCACCCATCCCAGCGGGGCTGATATGTTTCTCTGATAGGTGCATCTGGGAATGCACATGAAAAGCATGAAGCTCCTTTCCCACCAGTCGTACGGTACTGGTTTGCATAACATAAGTCCCCAACCATTAAAATCATTGAAGGATCATTCTGGATTAAATGATCAATGGTTGTACTGGTATTGCTAGTGAGGCCCAAATCTCCAACGACAGCTATTCGACGAGGATATGTGTTTTCGCCAGGCTCTGGTAAAGTTTCAAGGGCTTGCTCTTGACTCATAGCAGGGATAGAACTATCCCCACACTTGTAATAATATTTCGTACCTGGTTTAAGACCTACAGCAAAGGGGAACTCTTGATCTTAGCAGAAAAGATACACTCGATCTAGTTTCTTCGCTTGTCGTCTACTAGGTGTTCAATTATGTAACTAAACGACCATCCTGTGACATTGATATCAAAATTTACCATTTAACAGCTTAGCCTTTTATGTTTTAGTTTATTTTAACTTACTACAAGTTCAGTAGTTTAATCAAATATATCAGAATTCTTTCAGGATGTAAATTGACAGAATGTTTAAATATGCCAACCCCCAAGGGATGAGAGCTTCCTCAAATTGAAACATCAAATATAGGACTTATAGGTTTCATTAATGGGATTACAAATCCATGTCTGTAGTTAGTGAATTATGTGGTACATCGAGCAACCGTCAACACCATTATCAATTGACAATAAATTTTGATTCACCCACCAATATCAGAATTTTTCTATGCTCGACAATATCAAATTCACTCAATTAAGGGTTTTTTTCTCTTTCGGGTATATGCTCGAACTGAAGGAAGAGGCTGTTCGGAGTACTATTTGGCACAGAGCAAACGATTATGGATATTGTACAAACAATTAAGCTACGTTTACTAAAATCGGAACTTGTCCTCCAAGCAAACGATTGGATCAAATTAAGAATAACACTAGCAATTCCGCCGAAACGGATTGCCATTTTCTGATGCAAAACATTATGTGCATTATAGTAACAAACAATCAACAAGTCATTACAACTAAAAGAATCAAAATTGATTTCCATACCATCAATCCTGACATGATGAATGATGGCAGAGGTGTAATTCAAGAGGCCAGCAAAAGGGTACAATTGACTATAAACAACTGAAACCCCTTTCTTCACACTCGTATACTTGCCACTTTCTTCCCCATACCTCACCTCACTCCCAACTGTTGAAGGATCAAGTGGTCTCACAGTTTTACCAATCTGGGCATCCCCTGACCAAACAAAAACCACCCCAGTTCATCAATTCTATTCAACTTTCATGCCAAAAAGTTGAAAAAAATCAACAAAACAACACAAAGATTGAGAATTTGAATTTTGTACCAGTAACCCAAGAAACCCACATTGCAGTGGGTGAAGAAATAGCAAGGGCAATCTGTTCTGGGAAATTTGATGTCACGTTCTTCTTGAGCCTGGGATGGTCCATTGGCAAGTCATCACTGCCTCTGCGAAGCGATGGATCGAAGCGCCGAGTTGCAGGCACGAACGGGCCTTCTAGAGTGGTGGGAATGGGAAACTGAGTCAGTGCCACCGCCATTTCTGTTACAGTCAAGAAAATGATCAGAGTGATCCATGGTATGCAGTTCGGCATGGCATTGAAGATGGAGGTTGAAAATTCTAGCTGGGGATGATGAGGAATGTGAGTAAGTTTGATCATATCGTGTTGGGTTCGTTTGTTGAGTGACTTGAGCTGCGAATCGATTCGCATATTCTCATGGGAATATGCTGTTTCTTACGTTGTTCATAAAAAGTTAAAAAAAAAATAAAAAGGCAACATATCCCCATCCCTACCGCAACCTCCCACCCAATCTGTTGTCAACTGATTAATTAGTATGAACTTGACGATTGTCTTAACCACAGGTTGTTAAAGGAATTAAATAGTTTTATTAGTTTTATTTTAAGTGATTGTAACTGCCACTTTTTGACAAAATTAAAAAATAAAAAAAAATAAAAAATACAATAAAAAAATTGCAACTGCCACTTTATAAACACTAATGTGGTGATCCGTTGGGCAACAGTCATAATCCCAATAAAACACAATATTACAAAAATACATCTCTTTCTATCTTCTCGTTCCTTCATCCATACTCTATTGTTGCTAGTGTTACATGCAGGTTGAGATAGGGTCTAGAAGTTGATCCTATCATTAGTATAAGCCTATTTTCTGGTGTCCCACTTATACGCCCAGCCAATCCAAAACCTCCCGCAATGCTGCCATAGACACTTGTTCAGCCATACTCCATTTCTGCCACTCTGTTTGCTCCCTCTCACAACGTCCATACTACACTCCCAGTTGAATTTGAATAATTCCGCCATAAGCATGGTGGCGGTGCTGCTTCCTCTTTAGATCCAGTGACTCTAGCACCAAATCTCGGTGCTTCACCACCAATACTGACTGATGACGTTGATTTTTGCAGCATCACAACTCACGAGAGCATTTTGATGGCAGAGGCTGTACTCCCAGGCCTTAGTAACATCAATGCATTGATTTTTCCTGGTTCATCGATGGTCATGATTTCTTAGCTTGGATCTATAAAACCGAGCAGTATTTCACCTTCTAAAATGTACCTGAAGCTCATAAAGTGATCACTATCTCCTTTCATTTGGAGAATAAGGCACTGCAAGGGTTTCGTTGGAAAGATTGTTTGAACACCACACCGACTTGGGGAGAATTCACAAAGGCTCTTTGTTAGGAATGGGGTCATCAGAATTTGTAGACGGCATGTAGGCTTGTTTAAACTCAGGCAAATACGTAATCTTAGGGATTATATCACTGAGTAGATTGGCTAATCGTACAACTAATGTAGGATCTGTTTTGTAGAAAAAAAAAATTGTATTTTAGGGGGGGTTGAAACGTGAGCTGAAATTGGATGTTAAATTGTTAAAAACCCTCCATTATGCACGATGCAATTGCTATTGCTTTACAAGTTGATGCCAAATTGACTACGTTAAGACCACTAGCTCCTATGTCTTTTCCTATCCAAACACTGATGCATACTACTTATGCCTTGTCATTTATCAAACTTACCCCAAAATAAGTACAAATGAATAAGGATAGTGTCACATCCCGGCCCGGGGCCGATCACTTCCCGGGCCCGCTCCACCACCGTAGCACAATATTGTCCGCTTTGGGCTTACCATTCCCTCACGGTTTTGTTTTTGGGAACTCACGAGCAACTTCCCAGTGGGTCACCCATCATGGGATTGCTCTAGCCCCCTTCTCGCTTAACTTCGGAGTTCCTACGGAACCCGAAGCCAGTGAGCTCCCAAAATGCCTCGTGCTAGGTAGGGATGAGAATATACATATAAGGATCACTCCCCTGGGTGATGTGGGATGTCACAATCCACCCCCTTTAGGGGCCCGACATCCTCGTCGGCACACCACGGCCAGGGCTAGGCTCTGATACCAAATGTCACATCCCGGCCCGGGGCGGATCACTTCCCGGGCCCGCTCCACCACCGTAGCACGATATTGTCCGCTTTGGGCTTACTATTCCCTCACGGTTTTGTTTTTGGGAACTCACGAGCAACTTCCCAGTGGGTCACCCATCATAGGATTGCTCTAGCCCCCTTCTCGCTTAACTTCATAGTTCCTACGGAACCCGAAGCCAGTGAGCTCCCAAAAGGCCTCGTGCTAGGTAGGGATGAGAATATACATATAAGGATCACTCCCCTGGGTGATGTGGGATGTCACAGATAGGAAGAATGCTAGTTCTGTAAAGAAAAATTAGTTGGGGCACAAGTGTGCACATAAGCAACTCTTAATGCTGGATGTATTGGATGATGAGATAGAAGTCGAGATTATGAAGGAAGCACTGCATATTGAAAAGCCTGAGCTGTAGCACATGGACTTGAGTGAGTGTTCTTTTTATGACACCTCATCCACCTAAGCTTTACAAACAATGAAAGTAAATGGTGTAGTGAATGGTCAATTAGTAAGATTCTCCTAGATTCTGGTAGTACCCATGACTTTGTGGATGCTAGGCTAGCTAAGAAAATGGGGTGGTAGATTCAAAGTACTAAACCATTTGAAGTAATGAATGTTAATGGGAGGTGAGATGAGAAGCCAGAGGTATTACAAGTAGGTGCCAATGGAAGTGGGAGATTACCATTGTGGTACTGACCTTTATTCTAGATCCCTAGGAGGGTGTGACATAATACTAGAGGTACAATGGTTGTTTTCAGTAAGTCTAGTGCTTTGGGACTTTCAACTCCTTATTATGGAATTTGAAGTGAGAAGGAAAAAGTACAAATTGGAGAAAGTGCACTTCCATAGCCCACAATGCTGGAAATTTCTCTTCAACAACTAGACAGAGTTCTACTACTCCAATCTAGGAATTTTATTGTATTCTATGGATGCTGGAAAACTTGAGGCCTCGGAACTTATAGCACAACAGCTATTTGAGTTAAAAAATTCATTGGGGAATTTTGAGAAACAATTTGTCATTCCCTCAACATTTCCACCACCTAGAGACCATGGTCACAAATCCCTTTGATATTATGTTCTAAACTACCTAGTACAAGCCTTATCATTATAGTCCATTCTAGAAATCTAAGATTGAAATGGCAGTATAAGAACTCTTGCACCCAAGGTTTATTAGGCATAGCCACAACCCCTTCTTCTTTTCAGTGTTGTTTGTGAAGCAAAAATAAGGTACATGGAGATTATATATGGACTACCTTGAGTTAAATGCAATCACAATCAAGGACAAGTACCCAATTCCTTTGATTGATGACTTGCTAGATGAGTTGTTTGGTGCACAATATTTCTCTTATATGTAGAATGCTTTAGTGACCTTTCAAGCCATTCCTTAGACAACTTGTATTAGTGTTCTTTGATGTTATCCTGGTATACAGCAAAAATTGGGAAGAACACTTGTTTCACTTGTAGTTGACATTTAAGCTATTGAGAAAGCATCATTTGTATTTTAAGAAACAAAAATGTTCTTTTGGGCAGAGTAGGGTGGAATATCTGGGACACATTGTATCCAGGAATGGTGTGGCAACTGACCCTACAAAAATACAAGTTGTAGTGGATTGGGTAGTGCCTACAAATGTAAAAGAGCTTAAGGGATTTTTAGGACTCACAGGTTATTACAAAAAGTTTGTGCCTAATATGGTACAATATGTCAGCCCCTTTATCATTGATAAGAGAATGATGAGTTTTAGTGGAACCAAGCAGCTCAGCAGGCTTTTCAACACCTCAAGTATGTCATGACCTTTCCACAGGTCCTAGCCTTACGTAACCTTTCCACAGGTCCTAACCTTACCTGATTTCTCCCCTCATTTTGAACTTGAGTGTGATGTTTCAGGAATTGGCATTGGTGTTGTACAACAAAAGGGCAAACCAATTGCTTTTACAAGTCAAATCCTGGGTCTTAGAAACCAAGCACTCTACATATAAGAGAATTAATTGTCATAGTCCATGCCATCAAGAAATGGCAAAACTATCTCCAAAGTCGCCATTTTGTGATAAAAAATGACCATAATAGTTTGAAATACTTCCTAAATCAGAGAACAAACATGTCCTTCCAATAGAAATGGGTAGCAAAGCTACTAGGGTTTGATTATGAGATCCATTATAAGCATGAAGTTGATAATACCGTGGTTGATACATTGTTTAGGGTGCCAAGATCTTCTATATTACCTGAAACTCCTTTGAAAGATTAAAATCAAAGCACAGAGTGCAAAACCATATCATACCCCTACTTTGAATGGTTGGATGAGCTTACGAGAAGTCTAGAAAATGATCCATGAATTTTACAGAAGGCAAGTGAAATGAAAGAAGATTTGCAAGTTCAAGATTCAAGTGTGAATGCTGCTATATCCAAGTATCATTTGAACAATGGTTTTCTCAAGTACAAATCAAGGATTGTTGTTTGCCCTAATTTAGCTTGGAGAAGAACCATATTTGAAGAGCATCATTACACTTCTATAGGGAGCCATGAAGCGGTCTTAAAAAACTTATCACATAGTTAAAAAGGAGTTTTCATTGGGTAGGTATGAAAAAGATCCATGGATTTTATAGAAGGCAAGTGAAATGCAAGAAGATTTGTAAGCTCAAGATTCAAGTGTGAATGCTGCCATGTCCAAGTATCACTTGGACAATGGTTTTCTCAAGTACAAATCAAGGATTGTTGTTAACCCTTATTTAGCTTGGAGAAGAACCATATTTGAAGAGCATCATTACACTTCTATAGGGAGCCATAAAGCGGTCTTAAAAAACTTATCACATAGTTAAAAATGTGTTTGTATTGGGTATGTATGAAAAAAGCCATTAAAACTTGGGTCACTGAGTGTGGAGTTTGTTAATAAAACAAGTATGAAACCATTTTTCATCCAGCCTCCTGCAGCCATTTCCAATACCTTCTAAGATGTGGACAGATATTAGCATGAATTTTGTGATTCGATTACCCTTGTGTAAATGGGCATTTTGTAATCATAGTGGTGATTAACAAGTTATCCAAATATGGCCATTTCATTCCTCTAGGCCATCCTTATGCTGCTATGCTTGTTGCTTAGGAGTTTATTGATAAGATGTTCACGTTACATGGCATGCCAACAACCGTTATGAGTGATACGGACAATGTATTCCTTAGTGCCTTTTGGAAGAAATTTTTTAAATTCAAGGTTGTAAACTTTGCGTGAGCTTAAGATATTACCCCAGAATGATGGCCAAACTGAGGTGGTAAATAGGTGTTTAAAGACTTACTTGAGAGAACCTAAAAAATGGCTTGAATGGTTGGCATGGGCTGAATGAAGCTACAAC